TTTGTATTATCAATCACATATGGTATCCAAATGGACACAAATACAATCTTTATAAAGTAATTAACATCGGTAAATGATTCATCTTTAAACCATTATGTTATATAACATTTAAATATTAAAATATTATATTTTAGTTGGATTTAAATTAGTAACATATATATTTATGAGTTAATGTTAAAAATTTAATGTATATATATAGAGATTTCCTACTTGGGGCAATGTCATGTATGATCGAGAATGGATTGGATTGTCATGTTTTTGAGACATATTATTCAGACCTTGTCGACATTGTTCGGAATCCTGAGGAATGACCTGCTTTTTCCATCCTAACAGATAGGTTCAGAGAATTACATGGTGGTTTCCGCTGCTTCTTTTTGTCTTTGATTTTTCGCTCTTTTAATTTAAAAGCGGACTGTTTAGCCCGCTCAGCACTTACTAAAAGGTTTTGAATTTTCTTTTGTAAGCAACTATCCACCTAATTGGATTTCTAATTACGGTGGCATCTTTTAATTTATAGCTTGGTTGACAAAAAAAAATATATAGAGAGAGATTTCTAACATGGCATATATAATTAATTGGAATGTTTTGGTTGGTTAATTTAATTGATGTGCCATTTAAAATCTTCATTGAGTGGTACATATGATTTTTTCACTTAGGTTTTGAATGGGAACAACGGGTTAGACGGTGCGGGACAAGCGGCTTAAGAGGTACAGTGCGGTTCAACTGCAGTGCGGATAGTAGAAACGTATCATGCGGGATGAATGCGGTTGGTACGGAACTAGTGGGGCGGGACAATGTTTGAATGGTGAATTCTAAATATGGTGCAGGTGTAATAGTTACTAAAGTTTGATTAAATTTATATAATATTTAAATTTTAAAACAAAATAGTTTTTAAACATAAAGTGTGTAAATTAACAAAATTTAATTGTATAATTTTTTCAGTTTTTTTAGTTAAAAATAATAGTTGGAACGCACTAAACCACACTTCATTGGATGTGTTTTTTTTACATGCGTTATGTGAGTTTCATGCGTAATATGGAATACACTGATTTTTTATTTTATTTTTTTAAAATTTTAATTCAAAAAGAAAAAGTTAATATTGTGTTGAATATCAGCAAATAATTGGAACGCACACTAAAACTCATGTCTCGCATGAGACATTCATGGCCTTAGTGTCTTCTCAGCTAATATA